AATTCACAGATTTGAGATCCAGTTTTCTCACCTTTCCATTTATCTAAAAGAACATCTAGAGCTGTCAAATCAGAGCTAATGAGACACAATAACCGAAGCAGTTATATCAAAAACAGTCGGTCCAGATTCAAGCCTGTGTCCACGCTCAGCCTAATCAACAGCTGTCAAGATAATTGGCACAAACCCTGAACTCACTAATACAGGAAATTAGCTCAGTGTCCCGAAGACGCCTGAACTCACCACGTAAAACATCTGCCCGTTGTTATTTTAAAGCAATCATCTGGCGCACGCTAGGGTTGCGTTTATCGCTCTGCTCGTGTTTGCCACGAGGGAGCGAGTGATGGATGATGAACCTGTGGAAACGTCATTTAATAAAGCCATAAAACGTTCTTGTATTCTAGGTACAGTTTTACATTTGTTGCTCTGTGTAACAGTATCAACTTTAAAGGGTCTTCCTTTGTTGGGCCTGTTAAAAGAAACAATTGTTGGGTTTCTAACAAAAAGTGTCTATAAACACAAAGTCCTATGCGCGCCAGCAGGAAGAAGACCCGTCTCTGGTGAGCCTCCTGGAGGACAACGTTGACAAGATGCAGCTGACCAGAAAGATTCTTGATCTTAAACATGTGAGTACAAGTAGTAGAAACAAGTACTTTAATAACAACTAGAGCTGCAAGCATGTGTAATAGTGGCCCAAGTTCTCAACAATGATGGTGAACAGAAGACATGCAGGTTCACCACTTGGGCAATGATAAAAAAAAAACCCATCTGTGTCTAAAATGTTGCTAAGACTGTTGGCGAGTACCGTAATTTCTGGACTATAAGCCGCTATGTTTTTCACACGCTTTGAACACCACGGTTTATTACAATGCTGTGGCTAATTTATGTTTTTATTTTTTTTGATGGGCTAACAAGCATCATGCCGCCAAAACGTTTAGCCTCGTCACACCTGGGCGCTCACATAGCTGCCCAGTACACATCTCTCTTGGGGGGTGGGTCCTCGTGACTCAGTGGGACTACCTGTAT